AAATCATCCTTAAAACAAACCAAAAGTAATGTTCCATTTACATTTCTATGTTCCATTTACATTTCTAGCTTATTAATTATTTCTATAATAAGGGTAACTGTATATATGTAAACTTACTAAGGTTATTTCTAACTAAGGTTAACTATATATATGTAAATTTACTAGAAAGGAAAACTTTCATCTTTGCCAATTATACTAATTAGTCTCATTTTATTATAACACTTTTTCTAAACCAAAATCTTTCGTATTCTTGTATTCTTCTTTTTATTTTTGGGGCACCATTAATTAAACTAATCTCATTTTATAGAACTTTTTCTAAATCAAAACCTTTGGAATTGTATTCTTCTTTTTAGTTTTGAGCCACCACTAATTAAAAATGAAAAAAAATACCCCGACCGAGTTCATAGCCCTAGCTATAGACCAAAGCAATCAAAAATATAAATTTTTATTAAAACGAGAGTATTTTCAATCATACAATTGAAAAAAAAAAGATAAAGTATGAAAAATTTTTAAAAAATCATTAATTCTATTGATTTGGTTCATAAGTGGGACCATGAATTCAATCTAGGCAATTATTTTCTGTTGAGAATCTGGGCCCTAGGAGCAATTAATCAAATCAAATTCAATTACATATTTAATATTGAGCTTATAATGAATTGGGCTTATCTTTAACACAAAATGACCTAAGCCATTTTGGTTCGTTTACCCATCACATTATATGCCCTTTTAGTTAGTTGTATTTATCCGATATGGGATTACTATGCCCTTTTAGTTAGTTGTATTTATCCGATATGGGATTACCCACATACTCCAACATTTTCAATCAAAAATATAATTTCAGTATTTTTGTTATGTTTTCCTATTATCTCTATGCATTTAATGCATATATAAATATGCTTTTATAGTTATATATTGGTAACTTTTTTGGGTATATATATACATGATGAAAGTGCTCTTCTTTCAATTACACTATCCCTCGATTTTATTTCATTCATATTACTTAATCTTTTTGTTAAATTTATCAAAATAATTAAATAATACTACTTCCATTTTTCAAAAATAAGATTGTTTCTATTTTTATATACATTAAGAAGAACTATTTAATATAGTTTCGACAATAAATTTTACCAATATTAATTTTCCTAATATAATCTTTCATTAATACTAACATCATACATTTAATGCTGAGTTTAAATATAAAAACTGGTGATAATAAGGGAAAAAAAATTAGAAAATTAACAAATCAATTGTTTTCTTAATACTAACATCATACATTTAATGCTGAGTTTAAATATAAAAACTGGTGATAATAAGGGAAAAAAAATTAGAAAATTAACAAATCAATTGTTTTCTAAAAATACAATATTGCAAGAAATCCGTCGGTAAAATATAAAAATCCGTCGGTAATTGGGTTTGCTGATGAAATACGAGCAGAAAATTTTCCGTCGGTAAAACCTTCGTCAGTAAAATATTACCGACCAAAAATTTATTCCATATATAAATTAGTAGGAGGATATATTTATAATTTGGTTGGTAATTGGTTTGCAAAATATATGGTCGGTATTTCGTTAGCAATTTTCTTCAGTAAATGGTCGCTAAGCCGTGGGCATTTTAAAAAGATTTTAAAAAATAAAAATTTTTATATTATATTATTTTTTATTTCTTATTTTTTCATAAATAATAATCAAATCAACTAAATTTATTACGTCTTAATAATTACACCAATTAAATTTGATTAATAACTAAGGAAATTAAAGAAAATTAATTATAAACACAAAAAAAAAAAGAAAAGTAGAGAAGAGGAGAAGAAAAAAGGATATGAAGAAAAAAGAACATGAAAGAGAAATAGAAAAATCATTTTTTTTCGAATCAGATGGTATTTTCAGAGAGATGGGTTGATATGAGATGGATTTCTTTATTTTGATTATGAAGAGACTTTTCCATGCGAAAATTAAAATCCACACATGAAATTGGTAGATGATATCATCTCCTACTGCCACCATTGCCATCTCCTACTGCCATTCCTCTTGCCTAAGCACCACCACCAATGGTAATTACTCAGAATATTCCTTAACTTTCATTACCTCCTCCTCCAACCACACAAATTCCCTCTAATCCACCTCATCCTATTACACAAAATCAACACGCCATGGTTACTCAATTTAAAACTAACAGCCTCAAATCCAAAGCTAATCTCACCACTTCTGCGACCTTTATAGCCTTATGTACACCGAAGTTGCCAAGCATCAGGTTTGGTGACAAGCCATATTAGAGGAAATTAAGCATTAATATAGCATTTGGGATTTTGGTAGTTCAAACACAAGCCTTTAATGTGATTGGTTGCAAGTGGATTAATCGAATCAAGACCAAGCTAAATGGTTCTATCGATCTTTACAAGGCCCGACTTGTGGCCAAGTGATTTCATCAATAAGCTAGTGAGGATTATGTTGAAACAATCAGTCCTGTTATAAAATTAGCCACTATATGTCTCATTTTGTTTATTGCTGTCAATTCTAACTAGCCCATTCGCCAACTCAATGTTTCCAATGCTTTCTTGCATGGAGCACTTAAAGAACTAGTGTATAGCAAACAACCTCAAGGCTTCTTGGATCAAACCAACCCCAATCATGCGTGTTTTTTAAAGAAATCTTCATATTGGTTACAACAGGCACCGTAGGCGTGGTACTTTTGTCTTGCCTAAGCATTACAACTTTTTGGCTTTGGAAGATCTAAGGCTGATAACTCTGTTTTTATCTACCACAATGGTGCTCATATTGCTTATTCCTTGTGGATGTTCATGATCTCATTTTGACAGGTTCTACACTTACTATACTTTACATGTTAATCCAGTAGCTTAGGAATAAGATTGCTCTTAAGGATTTGGGCCCTCTCACCTATTTTCTTAGTATTGAAGTTGCTTAGATTCCGACTGGCCTTCAGTTTTCTCAATCCAAATATGTTTGGGATCTTCTACACCATGTTAATATGCATAAGGATACTGCTATTTCAATACTGTCCTCGTCGCAAACCTTATCAGCAACTGACTCTTCTCACCACTTTGAAGATCCAACTCTGTTTTGCCAAGTTGTAGGGGCCCTTCAATGTTTGGCACTTACTCGACCTGATATTACTGGGACTATTAATAAAGCTACTCAATTCATGCACACTACTTCTGTTAATCATTGACAAGCTAAAAAGCAGATACTTCACTATCTCAAAGGCATAACTGATCATGGCCTTGTTCTCCGTTCTTTGCGTTCAAATAATCTTATAGCTTTTTCTAGTCTGGATTGGTGTAGTGACAAAGCAGATCGTAAAAGTACTTCGGCTTATGATGTGTTTCATTATTCTAATTTGATCTCCTGGTGTTCAAAGAAGCAAAAAACAATGGCCAAGTCTAGTACTAACTCTGAATATCATGCCTTAGCCTCAGCCGCATTTGAGGTTTATTGGCTTCAGTGTCTTCTCCGTGAACTCTGCCAACCCCTTACTACAACCCCAAAATATGTTGTCATAATGTTGATGCCATATATTTAGCGACCAACCCGGTTTTACACTCTCATTCTAAACATTTGGAACTCGACTTTCATTTTGTACGCGATCAGGTTCGCCAGAAACACCTTGTCGTATCTTACATTTCCATTACTGACCAGGTCGTAGATGTTTTGACCAAGTCGCAGATGTCTTGACCAAGCCCTTGTCCAAGCAATGATTCCTCCTCTTGAAAGACAAACTGCTGGTTGTTCCTCTTATTCGTTTGTAAGGGGATATTAAAGAAAGATGACAACTTTTTTTTTAAAATTTTAAATCAGCCAATTTGTATCTCATTCATTAAGCGATCTCTGTTATATCAATCCCACTTGTATAGGGATTTTATTTTTTGTGTATACTTACTCAAGATACTCGTTGTACTCTATATATATGAATTAATAGAAATCAGATACAGAGGAAAAAGTTTAATCAAGTTTTCTTGATTTATTTCAATGTACATCTATATATATGAATTTAATATATATATGAATTAATAGAAATCAGATACAGAGGAAAAAGTTTAATCAAGTTTTCTTGATTTATTTCAATGTTGTGTTATTTGATAAGTGAGTGAGAGCCAAGGAGCTATGGTGGATGAAGAAGACACTTGTTCCCTAGACAGAGGGTGACCAAAAATACTTGTGGAATCAAACTTGACATGATGAGCAAGGTAAAACCATTGACTACAAGGATCTAAACATCGATGAGCATGGTGAGAAGGACTAGTTTGTAAATAGATGCAAGGTATGGAACGGAAAGAGAATTTGTGTTTTGTATTTAGTCTAAGACAGGGATAAATAGTGCAACCAAAGGGTTTTTGTGCAAGGTAATTTGGTGGGGTGTGATACAAGGGTAATTTGGTGGGGTGTGATACAAGTAGTAAAATGGACTGTGATTTTTAAGAGTTGGTGATGGCATGATATTAATTTACTGGACACTTGATTTAGCAGTATAATTTCAATATCATAATGGTAATTTTGCACGTGAAAGTAAGGTAAGAATGGTATCTATGACATGATGACTTTTCCCTTCCGCGACACCGTTTTGTTCAAAGGTGTATGGACATGCAATCCTATATTGAATACCATGCTGTTGAAAATATTTGTTTAGCTTTTCATACTCCCCTCCCTAGTCAGAATGTAATGCTAATATTTTGGACTGAAATTGACAATGAACTATAGCTTGAAATTGAAGAAACATTGAATAGACATCACTTTTATTTTTCAATAAATACAACCAAGTGAAACGAGTAAAATCATTAATGAATAAAAAGTACATATTTATGACCAAACTTGACATAATAGGTGTAGGACCCCAAATATCGGAATGAATGATTTGAAAAGGACCGGTATTTTTATGTTCTACAGATGCTAAAGATAATTTTCCTAAATTGCAAGCACAACAAGGAGAAAAATTAAAATTAGAACAAGTTAAACTAAAATCTTTAATAATCTTGGAGACAGTTCCTGAAGCAGCTGGCACTTTCTTCCCGATATTTATATGTTTTGGCTTAAATGAGACAGCAATATCAACACAGGGCATAAAGTATAAGAAAAAGGCTTGGTTTTCTGTGGCAAATGATTTTTCTGAGGATATCATGGTACAATATGATTTTGATAAGGTTCCTGCTTTTGTATCTGCTCATCCAAGTTATAATGACCAAAGCATCTTTTATGGCCCCTTTGAAGGTTAGTTATATCCATTTATCAGGAACCAACCATTTATATATTCTTTTCTCTATGCCAATAAATTATCTGTACTTTTCTTCTCAGAATTTGACAATTAACATTTGGTTATTTCATGTTTCTACTTGACATCTGATTCCCTCAATATTTGTGTACTTGACTATTATCTAGGTTCCATTTGCTAGAATAGAGGAATGGAATTAGGGATAGAAAAGGGGAAAAAATAAGGAGAAAAAAAAAAGTAAAAGGAAGGTCCAATCATGTTGCATGTGTGTGATTATGCATGGGCTGTCTGGTGTCAGTCAGTTTCCCTGTTGTGTTATTTGCTTAACAAGTTAATATAAATTGCACAAAGTGGGGATCAATTTAGAACAACTCGGGGAGCACCATATGGCTGGGAATCAAATTGTAACACCATTATTAGCTAACATATTTGTCTTGGAATCAGTTAAGCTGAGGAATCAGGAAGAGGTTAAGTAGAACAACGGGCTAGGATTCCTAGAACTAGAAGTTGTGAACGCTGGCTTAACCTCTACATTAAGTTCAGAAATGAATCTTGTACAGAAGTTGGCAATACACCGAGTTAATTATCAATTAGTTTGCCTCCAATAAAACTTATTGGGAGTTTCAGTGGCTCGATATGATTTTTCTATTGGTATATACTTTCTATATCTTTTTGCAACTTTGCCTCAGCAGGAAATGACAAATACTACCAAATGGTGAATCAAACTGAAGTCTTTGTCAATCTAAGTGAAAAAAGAAAAAAGACGGCCTTTATACTTAATACTAATGGGTTGAAGAATCATGATGGAACTGAGTCAGCTTTCTATATGTACTAGGAACGACTTTTTAGTGCTTCTGTTACCTATGCAATCTATTGAATTTTTTTAACTGAAAACAATATGATAAAAACTTGATATAATGTTGAAAAGAGTCTAGATTCAGATAAATCATCCACTTTCTTTCTTACTTTTTTTTACTTCTCTTTCAATTTTTTATGCATAAACCATTGTGGAGATAATTATAGCTTTAAAATTCATGATGTTTCTTATACATGAGATACACCTCAGAACTTGAGGGGAAAAAAAAGGGAAAAAAAGGAATAGAAGAAGATAAAGAAAAATTTACATCTATGCTTAACTTAAATTAACCAGCTAGGCTGAAGTGCAGCGAAGCTTCAGATGAGCTCATGACGAGCTTGTTCATTAATCTCATCAATTAAGCCAAGAAGTTTAAGGTGGAACTCTGGATGGTATATTTATTCCTCTCATTAATTTAACTAATTGAGCATAAACGTCTCAACTGATTCCATAGTCATTTCAGCATTGAGTTGATCAGCATGCTATATTTCTGTCGCTTCCAAATTTCATCTGCTTTAGCATAGATGTTTCTGTTCATTCTCTAGTTATACCTGTTTTATTTCTCTTCGTTGGTCAAATTAGTGTGAGCAATTCTTACATTCCTCCTGTTAAATATGCAGAGAAATTTTTGGAGGACTTTGTGAAACAAAATTTTCTTCCTCCAATTGTGCCCATGAACCATGACACGCTGAAGATATTGAAAGATGAAGAGAGGAAAATTGTCTTGACCATCATGGAAGACGAATCCGATGAAAAATCACAAATCTCTGTACGTATTTTTCTTCATGATACGTAGAGTGTTATCTTGCAAATTTGATTACCTATTCTGGTATTTCCGTGCATCTGCAGTCGAGAACTTGTTCATTAGTTTTTATCTTTCAATGGTATTTATGTTAGCTATTTGCTTTTAACTTTCGGTTTAAAATGTTTGTTTAGTTTAAAAATAAATAATTAGTGTTTGATAGAACTATTTAAAAGTTGTATTTAAGTAATTTAATTGTTTGATTAATAGGTATGAAAAAATAACTTAAATTAAAGTGAATACATTGTCTTTTTATTCTAATATACTCCATTTGACCTAAAATATAAATCGTTTAAAGTTTTTGTATAAGGATTAAGGAAATAGCTAATTTTTCTAAACTATAATACAATCAAAGGTAATTCGACCGAATTACTTTGTATCTCAAAATTCGACCGAATTACTTTGTATCTCAAAACAATCTAAAATAATAAAGGTAATATAGCAAAAACATCATTTATTACTCTTTAAGATATTCAAAGTGACTGATATTTTATGACAGATATTATCTATTATATATAAAAGTGAAAAATAAGAGGAAATAATGAGATTACCTATAATAATATTAGTGAAATTTTAGAAATCCTAAAATTTCTTTTTGAATTTTAGGATAATCGAAAATAATTTGAGTTTATTAAATAACATGAGTTTTTAATAATTGATATATTATAATATTAAATAATTAATTAATTGATTTTTAAATAATTTTTTATTAATTGATTTAGAAATTTTACATTCAATTAAGTCTCGGTTACATTCGATTATTTCTCAATTTTACAATGAATTAATTACTAAATCAATCAACAATCATATTTATTTTTAACGGTATCTAGAATTATATATTTAAACTTTAATTTCTATAACATGTAATCATTTATTTTATTGTAATACCGAAGTATGTCCCTGACTTTTTCTTTTAACATTTATGTAAACTAAATTATTATATAAAACAATGTAAATATTTCAAATATATAAGCAAAAATCATGAAAAAATAATTTAAGAATTTTTAATACCAAAATAAATTTATTTTCTCAAAGAGGTATTGTGGTTGGATATTTAATATAACAAATGATATTTTCTTTTAAAAGAAAAGCAGTATGAATATATTATTTGTTTAATAAATATATATGATAATGAGACGTTTAATAAATATATATGATAATGAGAACATTTGAAAATTTTAATATTTTTATTTATTAAATTTATTTTTTAAAAACATTTTGAAAATGCTATTTTTTAATTTTAATTTAAAACTATTTTATTCCGGAGAGAGATAAAAAAGAAAAAAAAATTCTTTTTATAAACCAATTTTTAACCAATTTTCAAATAGAATATACATAATTTAAATTTTTACTTTTAAAATTTATTTCTAAATAAAATGAATATACGTGTGTAGGATGATAAACATTAGAAAATTTTAATTTTAAAAAAAAATATGTAATATTTCTTATATATCTATGTATCTACATATATTGAAATATATTATTAGCTGATATTGTAGTTATAATAATTTTTAGATAAATTACAATATAAATTAAGATAAAATGTGTGTGTGTGTGTATACACTGCTGTTTTATTAATTAATCATTAAATTCACATTAATTTTATATGAAATTTTATTTTAACATTATAAAATAACATTATAAAATCTAAATAATATAAGATAAAAAAATTATAATCAGTAAGATAAAAATTATAATCAGTATTTAATATTAAAAATAAAAATGAGTATGAATAATAAGTAAAAAATGACATAAAAATTGAACGAGTATATAACGAGTATAATCACTGTGCAACGCATATCATAAAAAAGGCTGTGTGAATAAAAATATTAATAAATATTTAATCATGTTTAAAAAATTATTATTATTAAGTAACTATAAATAAAATGATCATAAATGTATTAATTTAAAATTTTGAAGGAAAATAATTATTTAAACCCTGAGGTTTTACAAAACTAATTTTCTCGTCTTCATATATTTTATATTATGTATTTAGTCCTGAACGTTTGGTTTCGTCTCCTTAAAATGTCATCTCATCCAAAATCAATGATTTTTGCAGTTAAAAGAGTGCAAAAAGAAAATAACCCTTGAGCACGAAATCACAAAACCATGATCCCGTTGTGAATGGAAAACGAAACATCCTTTACACTTATAGAAGTCGTGTTCTTTCAAAAATACTTTTCTTTGAATTTTCACAATTTCCTTTGAATCTTTGCAATTGTTGGTTGCAAGAAGTAGACATGTTAATATAGGTTCATAAGTCTTTTCTTTGTTTGAAGGTTATTTTCTATAAAAGTTGGCGTATTTATCATAGTTACCCTGAATATTTCAACTTTTCCTTTATCATGGTCTCATTGCATTATATAAAGACTAGATTACACATTTGCAGCTCCATTCTTTGATTTCAGTGGTGTATTTGTGAATTTAGGATTGTTTTGAGTAATGAGTCATTGGATAAGAAGTTGAACGCTTTAGCCGACTATATGATAAATTGCGAAGCCAACTAGGCATAGTAGCATGGCAAGAATATTGTTGGATTAAGTGCAAAATATACTGAAGTAGGTGCTGAGATTGAAGATATTGTTTTGGGTGAAGAATCATTGAACATCGGTGATGTAATGCTAGAAAACCTTGAAGAGTCATAGAATATAGGAGGTGTAATCCTTGAAAACCATGAAGTATGGCTTAGCAATGTTGATCACAGTGTGGATAGGAAACAAAATGATGACTAAAGGGATGGCCAGAGGCAATTTTTTAGAGGTTCAAATATTTGGGACAGGATATGCAATGAGGATATTCACTTTCCTATGAGATCTTGTCCAAACACCATTTCATTTAAAGAAATTGAAACACAGTTGGATTAGAACTACACGGAAAAGGCTGTTTAACTTGATTTGCTTTTAGAAAGAGGAAGTCACCATCTCAGGTTTAATTATAAAAGGGAAAACTTAAGGAAATCCCTAATTTAACTCCGAGAAAAAAAAATTATCCAATGGAAAACTGCATTAGAACTTGAAACCATAGAGGATTCAGGAACCAGGTTTTTAGTACAAAAGAAATAAGTTGTTTAGCTTGAAATTAAAACAAGATTCAATGAAAATAATTTTATGAACAATTAATATTATGCATGAGTATATAAATAATGCATGAACAATATAAAAAATATTATAAAAAAATAATCAATAATTAAATAAAGCAATAATAATATTATGCATGAGTATATAAATAATGCATGAACAATATAAAAAATATTATAAAAAAATAATCAATAATTAAATAAAGCAATAAACTAATTCAAATTAAATTAGGGAGTATTATCTCTAGCCTCTTGATGAGGATTCTAGGATAATCACATATCTCCCAATAAAAATAAAAATAATAATTAACTACTCCAAAATCAATGATAATAATAAAAATTATCCCACAAATAATAAAAAGATGATGAGAAAAGAGAAGGGGAATTTTTATTAATTTGGTTTGCAATTTAGGAAAAATCACAAAATGTGTTTGCATATCCGTTAGATCCATAATTAGATCTGGAATCAAAACCATGCAGTTCTATTGATTGATTTTAGTCTTATTTATCGTGTTTTCACAAGCCAAATTTGTGAATAAGGGATAGAAGACGAGAGATTTAAGATTTATGGAAACATACCTAGACCTTGTGGATCTTGGGGACTTTAGGGATTGGTTGAAAGATTGGGCTAGATCTCAATTCTCTCTTACCTAGGCTGGAGGGGGCCTAATTAATTTGACAGTAAAATTAATTAATTTAAAGAAAATTAATTAATTCAAAAATCAAAAATAATTTTGAAAAATCAATTACTATATTTTTGATTACTATATTTTTGGGTGGTGATAGTCTAATTAATTTAAGGAAACTTAATTAGGATAAGGCTTAAAAATTGAAAAAACAATTGTAATTGGAGACAAAAGAGAAAGTTTTTCAGTGTCAATACAACCGAAGCAATCAAGGAGTGAAAAAATGAGGTCTAGGAGGCCTGTCTATAGTGAAAACAAGGCTAAATTCGTCAAAATCAGAGTTAGAATACGAAGCAAATGGGGGCGCTATGGTAGAGGATTGGCAGCCGCAGGGCTATTTGTGGCAACTAAACCAAATCTAGACCTAATTTTAACTTCAAGGTGGAGTTTAGTGTGTAATACTGTTGGAAGCCTAAGAAGTTTAGTTTCAAATGTCACCTGAACCATTAAAAGAACTAACTTTTAGGATTTTGCTCGATTCTAAATTGATTGAAGATCAATTTGAACCGTACCTTTTCTTATCGATTTGAATGATAAAATCTGAACTTAAATCGGTCTAAAACTAGTAGTTTTGGTCCGGTTTGAACCAAAAATTTTTATTTTTATTTTCAAAATTATAATCACTTAACCTATTCTATATAACTCTAAAGTCTAAATAATCTTTTACTACATGATACACTTTACTTAATTTTTTTTTTTTAAAATACGCTTTACTTAAAGGTTAAAAATCTAAAAAAGTAAAATGGTAAAAAAACTTTACTTAATTTTTTTTTTTTAAAATACGCTTTACTTAAAGGTTAAAAATCTAAAAAAGTAAAATGGTAAAAAAAAAAGTGAAATATTTAGTCTAGAATTATATTGTTTGATACAAACGGGAGTTTTAACTTTTTTTTTTTCTTTTAAATTATTTACTTAGTTCAAAATTGCATTGTTTGAAGTATTTTCAAAATTTTCTCAGTTTATTTAATTAATAATATTTAGACAAAATGAAATGATAATTTATTTGATTATTTTGTAAATTATGTAATTTTATTTTTTTATATATGAGTATGAGCTTTCTAAAAGTTATTTAAAATAAAATTTACCAATATTTCTTAAACTCATATTAATTTTTGCAAATGAATAATATAATCTTAGAACCGAATTATTACTTTTTCTAAAAAAATTAATATATATGTTTCCATAAACCATGA